GAGAGAGAGAGAGAGAGAGAGAGAGAGAGAGAGAGAGACTGCTGTAAGGTAGTTTTAAGGCAGACAATTCAAGCTAGCAGCCAAAGAAAAGAGGTTGCCCCTAACCATGTGACAGGCCTATGAAGAATGTCCATCCCAGTGCCAGTCCTCCTGTGTCCCAGAAACAGGTCCCTAGCATGTCCCACATAGGTGCCTCCATCTTAGGTGATTTGGTCATGTACCAAGCCACCACTCTACTCTGCTCCCATTTGAAAAATTTGCCATCCTCAGCAAATAGGCAGTGGTGTATTTTGAACATGGCCTATATTCCCAATTCAATGGTGTTATATTTCATTTACTTAATGGTAGCTTAGTTTAGTGAACGGGATTCTGGACTTAAAACTAGAAAGATCAGAGTTGAAATTCTGGCTCAGACATTTAATAGCTCAGTGATCCAAAACAAGTCACAACATCTCTGTGCCTCAGTTTCCTCAAATGTAAGATGAAGGGGTTAGATATGATGATCTATTTAAGATCACTCCCACTTCTAAATCTATAATCTTAAGAATTTCTCATTATTTCCTTCTAACAGACATCAACTTTCCTTTAATAAATAGTCATGATATGTATATTATCTTACTGTCCATTTCTGTATTAACTTACTGTGTATTGGTCAGCACTACCTCTAAACTCCCATGGGGCTGGGACTGTGCCTATGTGGTTCTTGGTACAGGTACAGCACATTACTGATTGCAAGTAGGGACTTTGTAAACATTCTTCAATAATCATGGTCCTTCTGAAGCAAATTCTGCCCTTTCATCCTTAGATACCCCAACCATATCAACTCCCTGCTTCAGAGCCTCTTGACTCCCAGAGGCCTGGAGGCTGTCCTCCCTTCACCTGCTACATCCAGGCAGGGGCAACTAGGTGGTGCAGTGGATAGAGCACCGGCCCTGGAGTCAGGAGGACCTAAGTTCAAATCCGGCCTCAGACCAAACACTTGACACTTACTAGCTGTGTGACCCTGGGCAAGTCACTTAACCACCATTGCCTAAAAAATAAATAAATAAATAAAAATAACAGGCAGCTAGGTGATGCAGTGGATACAGCACCAGCCCTAGAGTCAGGAGGACCTGAGTTCAAATGTGGCCTCAGACACTTAATGCTTACTAGCTGTGTGATGTTGGGCAAGTCACTTAGCCCCTTGCCTAGCTCCCCCCCCCAAAAAGGATCTCAGTTATTTTTGTTAATATTATTCCTTCCCAGGCCATTCTGAAATTGTATTATCTGATTCATGGTCTGTGGACTTACTTGTTCCTTATTTAGTCTTTCTGTGCTCTTCATGGCATTAAAGTTTGTGACGGACATACTGAGTTTGGGCTCCCTCTTTTAACCAGTTTATATGTTATACAGATCTTGCCCCATCATCCTTTTCTTTGTTGTTGTGCTTCACTCTTCTAAGCATTCACCTGAAAGGGAAATAATGTTGGATAGAAGCAATGCCCTTCCCCATTGATCTTCCCCTGTGATCATTCTCCTTCCTATTTGCCACGCTATTACATCTCTGGGTCCATATCCTATATAGCCTTCCAGGTGTCAACTGTCCCTAGGAACACATACTTCTTCTGGAACATGATGCTGTTCACAGAGACATAATACTGTCCCAAAGAAGATAGTCTCCCAATATATTAGTTTCTTCTAGATTAAACCTCTCATGAGGTCCCAGTTTCTTATCACAGTCATATATCTCTTATTCCACAGTAATTCTCTTCAGTGGAACCCTCCTCCCCCTATTGTGTAGACACCTCCTTCTTTTATTCCCCTAAATTCAATCCCTCCCTTCTTCCATCTCGCCTATTCTCTTGCAGCCCTTCTTGCTTAGGGACCAGAGGAGTCATTATCCCTTTCCTGTTCACCTTTGGGTGAATAATATAATAAGGGCCCATCACTCATTCCCTTCTGTCTTTTAGAATAGCAGAGTATTCTGCTATTTTATTCCACTGCAATCCTGTGTTAGAATCTAGCTCTGTGTTAGGGTAATCATGAAGATACAGACAGTTTTCCAGGATTCCATGGATGAAGTCATGAATGGGTGTGGGTGTCTATGGGATTGTCTGAAAATAATTTGGAGAGCAGAAGGCAGAAGCTGTGTCCCAAGGGCTAGTGGATTGAGGTTGTCTCCATGTTGATGCCATGGGAACTTTTGCAGACTTTAGCACTTAGCACTGGGTTTGTGCTTCTTGGCTTGCCTTCTCTTTCACAGAGAGAAGCAACTGCTATTGTGCAGCCCTCCTTAAAAGTGCAGGTGGGGAGGGAGTGAGAAGGTAAGTGATGAGCCTAGCCAACCCAGTGGGATGAGATAACCCTCTTTTGCCTCACTTCTTCTCTGTAGGCAGAAAGCACCAGCATAAAAAAGAACTTCCTTTTTTTTGAGGTGATCAGCTATATCCAGTCAGCAGATACCCATAGTGGATCTCCTTCCCCCGTGATTTCTGTACATTCTTTCGCCACTGTTTATTCCAGTGTCATATGAAATATATCAGCAATGCTAACCCTGGCTGGTGTTGGGTGTCATCTTTGGCCGTAGAGGTCTGGGAGAGTGGGAGAGTATGGATAACCACAAGAGGTGCCTCTATTTCCCCTCCCCTGCAGTGGGATGAGTGGCAAGGGGGGCCTAGCAAAGACTTCTTCCTGAGAGTTGGCAGCCTTAGGGCTAGTTTACAAATATTTTATTTGATCCTCACAACAACTCTGGAAGGGAGGTGTTATTATTATCTTCACTTTACAGATGAGGAAGCTGAGGTAAATACAAGTTAAGTGACTAACTCAGGGTCATAAAGCTACTAAGTATCTGAGACTGGATTTGTACTCAGGTCTTCCAGACTTCTGTGCTCTATCCACTGCACCACCAAACGTCTAGAAGAAGAAAATTAATAAAGAAAATGAAGCAAAAAGAACACTTCTTAGAAAAAGATGCAGAAAAAAGAAAACTGACCATCCTAAGAAGCTGAAGTTATTCTTGGCTGAGTATGACTCAGGACAGTCCCCTGGTAGTTTATATTTGATGTTGGAACATTTGGGGGTCATTCAACAGTTAACAAAAGATTTTTTTTTATCCATAGCATAAGGATATTCAACAAAGATATTCATTGAGGACACCCTGAGTTGACTCAACTGAATGGAGTTTCCTAACGAGAGTGACCCACTGTCTACTAGGCTAGCATCACAGCATGCCTTGAATTCTTTGAGGCTCTTTTATAATGTTTCCTGAGCCAATCAAATCTCAAAGATGACTGCAATATGTTTTAAGTGTAGCATGTATGCTCTGGCCCCACTTTCCAAGGGTCAAGCTGGCTATATCTACCCTCAGGATTCCAGAGAATATCCCTGAGGGATTGCAATGTCATTTCTCTAATGCCTTAAGCCTGATCTCCACCATCTGGAAAAAAGTGGTTCTCCCCATTTTTAGGGTCCTGTTACTGGGCCCCCAGTTCCATTTAACTGCTTAATATCAATTAGCTTTTACAAAGAGGTATTTACTCCAAAAATGGAGCAAGAACAAGCATTCAAGCTTTTCTCCCAATGCCTCCAGGGCATCTTCTCCCCTATATTATCTCAATATTTGGGGAGTAGGCTCAAAACCTACCTAGGTTCCTACATAGCACTGATCTCACCAAATGTCCAAACATGACATGATTAAAGGAACTTGCAAAAACCATTCCTTGTTCCTTGGGGCATCAATGTTATGCTGGCTGCAAAACACAGCCTGAATTCCAGCTCCCAAATTCCTGCTGCTCACTCTCCCAACCTTTCAAACTCCCCAGGTCAGAGAATCCACTCCCTTCACTTAGAACAGAAAAGAACAAATGAAAAGTCTAAGGACAGAGGCCCATTTCTTGAGGCCATATGACCTCAGACAGGGAGAAGTTAGTAAGACCTTTCCTGTTACAACATGCTCTTTCATCAGATGCAAAGGGAGTCACTCAATGAAACAAAGAAGAGATGGGATGTTAAACAGGCCTTTACCAAAGTGTCTAAAGGAAATCAAAGAGCCTCCCTTCCACTACTGCATTAGCTGATCAGAACTAGTTATGGAATGTCTACATATGCCTCACAGTAGTTCCAAGGGATTTCTCTTACACATGAACACAATTCTCTGGGAAGCAAGCTCCCTTAGCATCTAAGAAAACCGATGTTGTCTGTGTATGCACCAGGCCCCCCATTACGTAATAAAAAACTAGCCTCACTTGCAAGGGGGTGGGAGGTGAGGATATTATTCCCACCACAGGAGGAGAAAGAAGGGAAGACTTTGAACTAACCCTTAAACTGGGGGATTAGGGCAATGATACTGGAGAAAAAAAGATGAAAAGAAATGAACAATTAAATACCAATAGACATAAGCAAGGAAAACATATTATGCTTAAAGAAAGCAGACATGGCAATCATTGCTCTTGAACAAAGGAAAACTAAAGGTGGCGCAATGGATAGAGCACCAGCCCTGGAGTCAGGAGGACCTGAATTCAAATCCAGCCTCAGACACTTAACACTTAGCTATGTGACTCTGAGCAAGTCACTTAACCTCAATTGCTTCACATTAAAAAGAAAGGAAAAAAGGAAAATTAAAAATTCACAATATCAGTAGAGATACACCAGGAAGTACTTTATGCTTAAAGGAACCCAATTAGCCCAATCAATATTAAACATATGTGCAAGGTGTAACATCTAAGTTAACAAAGAATTAACTGATTTGCAGAAAGATATGAATTGTAATACAATGATAATGGGAAACTTTAATGTTCCTCTGTCAGAGCTGGACAAATCTAACAGAAGAATGAACAGAATGGAAAATATAGAATTGAACAAACTTGGAGAATTCAGAGCTAAAAGATCTATGGTACCTTTTAAATGGGACCACTAAAGAACATACTTACTTTTCAGCACTACATAGAACCTTTACAAAAATAGATTCTGTTTTAGAGCAGAGAATCTGCAAGTGAATGTAAAAAAAGTAGAAATATCAAACACATCCTCTACAAACTATAGCTCAATTAAAATTTTAATCACTATAGGGAGCACAAGCAAAAACACAGATCTAAATATAGATTTTAAAATGAAATACTGTCTAGTAAGTCAAAGAACAAATCACAAAAATGATTAATAATCATGTGAAAAACAATGATAATGAAGAAACACTATACAAAAGTGTCTGGAATAAAGTCAAAACAGTCCTCAGAGGAAAATTCATGTTCCTAAAAGCCTACATTAACAAAAAAGAAAAAGAAATAATAAACTTAATTTGAAATTTTAAAAATCAGAAAATCAAAAGGTAAACTCAAAAAAAGCAGAAAAGAATTTTTTTTCAAATTAAGGGGAAAATAAATAACTTAGAAAAAGAAATCTACAAAACTGATATAGTAAACTAAAAGCTGGTTCTTATAAAAGACTAACAAAATTCATAAATCTTTGACCAACCTAATTTAAAAAAGGAAAACCAAATTAACAAAATAAAAAATGGATGAAATGAAATCACAATAAATTAGAAGAAATAAAAAGAATCATCAGGATTATTTACAAAAATATAAAATACCTAAATTATCAGAACAGTAAATAGATATACTAAATAATCCAATCTCAGAAGAAGAAATTAAGCTAACTATAAAGGAATTACCAAAGGAAAAAACCATGGTTCAGATGGGGAATTGCAGAGAATTCCATGACACCTTTAAAGAACAATTATACTTAAGCTACACAAATTAGTCTAAATTTAAGAAAAAAGTGTTCTGCTAAACTTACCATATTCCACAAATACAGCCCTAATGCCTGCAGGAGAAGGAAAAAATAAAGGGAATTATAGGTCAATATTATTAATGAATATGGATTCAAAAATTTTAAATAAAATCCTAGTCAAAAGACTATAACAATTTATCCAAAAAGTCATTCACTTTTATCAAATTAGATTTATAACAAGGATTCAAGGATGGTTCAACATTAAGAACACAATTAACTCAATCGTATTAGAAGTACATCAAGTTACCATAGGATACTTCAGAGAGCAAGACAAAATAATAACAAAACTCATTTTGGAAGAACAAAAAAATTCCTGAATAGCAAGGAACGTTATGAAAAAAAAAGGTATGAATTAAGACACAATAGCATTTCCAGACTTCAAATTATATGACCTCAAGTATAAGAGACAATCATCAAACTATTTGTTACTGGTTAAAAAATAAAAAAAGATAAGTGGAACAGACTAGATAAGGAAGAGTCAGAAACAATCAAATTCAGTAATTCAGTATTCAATAAACCCCCAAACCTAAGCTACCTAGAAAACAATTCACTATTTGACAAGAATTTCTGGGAAAACTTGAAAGTAGTCCAGAAGAAATTAAGCTTAGAACAACATATTCCACAGTAAATTCAAAATGGATATGTGAGCTGAATATTAATATTCATACCATAAAAATTAGAAGAGGAGCAGATTGTATACTTTTTATAGCCATGGGTAGAGGGTAAATTCTTAACCAAAAGAGGAATAAAGGTTAAAAGATTAAATAGATTTTTTAAAAGATAAAATAGATAATTTTTATTACATAAAATTGAAAAGTTTCTCCATGAATAAAATTAAGATAACCATGATAAGAAGGCAAGTAGTCAATTGGGGGAAAAAATCTTATCAAATATCTCTGATAAGAGAGATATTTGGATATATCCAAGAAATATAGATAACTAATAGACAAATATATGTCTAAAAGCTATTCCTCAATTGATACATGGTCAAAAGATGTGAACAAACAGTTCTTCAAAGAATTGTAAACTATTAACCATATGAAAAAAATTTCCAAATTGTCAATAGTAAGAGAAGAGCAAAGATAACAAAATATAATAGTCAATATGGGAAGGATTGTGGACACATTAATATTCTGTTTGTGGAGCTGTAAATTAGCCCAACCATTCTGGAAAGTAATTTGGAATTATCCAAAGTGAATGACTAAAATTCCTTACCCTTTGACCCAGAGGTTCCATTGCTAGGTATAAGAAGGTCAATGACAAAAATAAAGGTATAGCATAGTTGGTAGAGACCTAGGTCTAGAGTCAGGAAGACTTGAGTTCAAGTCCAGCCTCAGATACTTACTAGCTGTATAACCATGGGCAAGTCATTTAACCTCTGTCTGCCTCAGTTTCCTCAAGGGTAAAATGGGGATAACAGAACCTACCTCTCAGGATTATTATGAGGATCAAATGAGACAATATTTGTAAAAGTTTACAATAGTACCCAGCACATAGTAGGAACTATATAAATGCTTATTCCCTTCACCTCCCACAGTATACCAAAAAATCTATAGTAGCATTTTTTATGATACCTCCAAGCTCCACCCTGACTGATCTTTAACTCCTACCTCTGGGCCCCTGGGCTTCTGATTGATGCGCATTTGCTTTATCTTGCCCAAGGGAAGATCCACCATGTCACTTCCTGACCCTCTCCATGACATGGTGTTACATACAAACACTCCTTCCCACCCCCATGCCATTTCCAACTCTATCACTTAGAACAGTAATCATATAAATATTGACATTCCAGGAAAACAACAGGTCAATTAATTGCCCTATGACTACAATCACTATTCCCTTTGACCTTCCTGTTGAAAATATTCCCCCCACCATCACTCTTGTATACATATTATCTTTCTCCCCTATTAGAATATAAACTCCTGGTAAGCAAAGACTGTCTTATTTGCTCATATTTATCGCTTGCTTTGGATCATCAGCATTTAGCACAGTGCCTAGAACGTAGTAAGCACCTAATAGATGCTTTTTAATTCTTTCATTCATTCCAAGAACTAGAAATGAAGTAGATGTACATTTCAAAGGGAATGGCTTAACAAATTGTAGTAAGTGAATGTAATGGGATATTACTATACCATAAGAAATGATGAATATAATGAATACATAAAAGCATGGAATGACCTACACGAACTGATACAAAGTGAAGTAAGGAGAATGAGAAAAGCAATATACATGACTACAACAATGAAAATGGAAAGAACAAAAACAAAACAATCAAAACTTAATGATGTGAAATTATAAAGAATAAACTTTAAACCAAGTAAGGGATATGAGAAGATACTTCCCATTGATTCTTTTTAGAGGTAGGGGGGACCAAGGGTGTAAAACATTTCATAGAACATTTAGTTTTTGTTGTTTTTTTTTAAATACAGTTTGATTAGTTTTGCTGAGTTCTTTTTTTTTTCCTTTCTCTTATTCATTCTTTCTGGGAAAGGTTTGGGGAAAGGATACAGCATTATAAGTAGGTGCTTTATTTCATTTATTTATTGTTCAAAAACAATTTTTTTTTTAAAGATAATGAAACCACCTTCAAGACTTAACTGATCCAAGAGACCAAGATTTGAAGCATTGACACAATATGCTGATCACTCAAGTACAAAAGCCAGCCCCTTTAGAATCAGGGTTTCTTCAGTCTTGACTTCACTTCTGACCAGATTCCCTACCATGGAAAATGTGGACACAGGGGAATGGCACTTGACTGAACCATGCTATATCCCTGATGAATATTTTTCCATGTCATTGTTAAGTAAACTTCTTTTTGTTAAATCTAAGATGCTTTACAATTATTTTATTTTGCTCCAATCTGTAGCCTGGAACACCAGAATGGGCTGAGTTGAGCCTGGGACAAAACAGTTGAGCAGACTGGGAGAAGATGGTGCCTTGGTATACTTTTGTCTGCAGGGGTGGGGAACCTGCAATCTCGAGGTTCCCCATCCCTGGTCTAGGGTTTAAATCTGGTCCATTGCTCCTACCCACTTCTCTACCAGTTCCCTAATTCACACTCTTTATCTGCCCTCCTCCCCAGCTCTTCAGGGAAGACACAAAGGAATGATACATCCCAGTGGGCACCTCTGTCCCCAGTGAGGGAAATGGTTGTTCCTAGATTTCAAGATACCACATATATTAACCTTGGCTTGGGGATCTAAGAAGGTATCCCAGCCTCACAGACGTTGTGGACTTGTGAACTTTCATTTGTAGGGTACAGGATGCAGGAATACTGGATGTTGGAAGTAATATCCTTTCTGTTTCCTCTGTGCCATAGTCTCCTTTCCCTTCCAGTTTCCTCTCACTGTACCTCCAGAAAAACGCAGAGACTAGGAAAGAAGCCCTAAGGGGGAGCTTGCTGCAGGAGATGGGTGGGGTGGAGAAGGGGGATCCCTGGGACTGAATGATAAGGCAAATTTATTTTGGGGGGAAGCCAGCCAGCCACACTTCCTCTCTGATAGGGACCCCACCCCAGAGAGGGGTCTCAGTCTATAGATGTTTTTACAGGAAAGGTTTGGGGTGGTGAACTTTGGTAGGAAAAAGATGTCTTCATTTATTAATGAATTCAGTGACTCCTAAAAATCCTTTGCCTTGGAGAATAATTTGGAGGTTAACATTGCCTCATTCAACAAATAGCAATATATGTAAAGTGCTTTGCAAACCTTAAAGCACTATATATAAGTTATTATTATTACTATTACTGTTGTTGCTGTCTACCCTATCTGCAAAGTATTATAGGAAAAACAAGAATACATTCAGTTTAATTACTCTCTCTGCATTGCTCCCATCTATTCATCCAGTGCCCTTCCAACTATAACTTAACATGTTTTGAATTCTCCAGAAATTGACCTTCACTTTAGACTTTGTTCATTTGATCCCATTTTCTCCCCAAATAATTTCTCATATTCAGCCAGAGGGGGAGAGAGTCCCAGGAGAGGTATGTCCAAAGGCCAAATGAAGGGTGAGGCAGCAAGACCACCACTTCGCCCCCAGGTACCCTCCTCCAGACTAGGCTCCTTGTCTCTTTATCTCCTCTCGCAAAGCTTTCCCCATCCCCTCAACTCCCCAACCGAGATTAGAAACACCCAACTGTCTCCCAACTGCTCTGATTCTGGGACAAGATTATACCCTTCAACCCCGAATGCCTACACAGACCCCAGGCACTGCCAGCTTTCTATTGTACCAGGGTCCAGAGTAGAGAGAAGCCTTCATGGCCTGGAAAAGTTCTGGGGATTCTGGAAGACTTGGGGTTGACTCAGTCTCTCCTTCCTCTCCCCAAGGTGGTATTTGTCCACCTAGAAGACCAAGGTATTCCTGGCCATAGGCAACGAGCAAGAAGGGTAAGGAGGTCAGGAAGGAGGGCTTGGGCTAATGAGGTTTTTTAAGGCAAGGAGTAGAGCTATGAGGAAAGGGTCCTGACACTGTTGACCCCTCAATCCCAATTTCCACCTTGGGAGCTGAGGATTTCCCAAAAGAATCCCAAAAGAGGAGACAAGGGTGATTTAGGATCACGGAGGGAAGAGGAAACACAAGTACCCGGGAAAATAGAATCCACAGACACACACTCCGTTGTCTTCTCCTGTCTTAGTGAGTCTACTGACTCAGGTTTATGTTTCATCATCTCTCCCTCACTTCTTTGTCATTCACACCATCTTTTTGTCTTTCTCTGGTGTCTTTTTTAGCCCTGTTCTTTTACGTCCCTCCCCCAAGCACTAGAGGCTGCACACGTGGCTCCTTACATCAGATAACCCAAACCACAGTGCTCCCCCACCTCCACCCCCACAGGTTTCCAGCAGCTCTCCTTGCCAGAACCCCACCCACCCATGGCTTCCCTCCATTAAGCCCCTCCTCGCTTTAGAACTTCCAAACTCTCATTCTTGGGGGATGGGAGTTGGGGAGTGGGGAGTAGAAAACTCTAGTTTTCTTTTTTAAAAAAAAAAAGATGAAGAAAAAAGAAGTGAGACGTAAGGAGAGAGAAGTAAACTTTATGT